GCTGATCCTGGAATGTCTAAGCTTTAACTTGCATTAAAGTTTAGTGTTTGCTTCACTATAAAGCACTTTGAAAACTGGATTCATTTTACCCTTTAGGGTAAATTAGGTCATTCCTTATATTTCAAAACATTCAATGCAGTAACTTTGAAAACTGAAAGAATAAAAGAGTGTCCTGAGTTCCAGAGGCTCTTAAGTGGCCTTTTAGAAAACCAAGAGGAAATATATTCTCACTCTGATAGTCAAAATTTTTACTTTGTCTGTTGTTTGTTCTGACCTTCTCCACATCAGGTTTAAAGCAGTTTGGAAACCAAGGTGTTATACCTGGGTAGCACAGAGGTGGTGGGCACTGCTGAAGTGTTGGAAAAAGCCTATGCAGCTCAGTTCCCTTGACAGGGCTCATAAAGAAAAGCAAGTGTCTGTACAAATGGGCTGCTTTCTTCTTTTTATTGTTGCATATATTACTTAATCTTCTCTAATAACTTTATTCTTTCCTTAGAACTGAAATCACAACCCTAATATTCCGTACTACATAAGTACCAAGTACTTCACTCTGTCTGCCAAAAGAATTCAGCACCAGTAAGTCAAGCTGTATGGATCTGAGAGGAAGAGATCTTTGTTCTGACCAGGTGTACACCCTCTAGCACATGAGCTTAGAAACCCTGGGCAAGTTCTCTAGCTTCTCGCTAAAAAAATATTTCACCAGGCCAAAACTAAATGTGAAGGTCACTGCTAGGCTGTTCTTTATTATGGAAACCATTTCCTGGAATATTTCAGCATATTTTGACCTCTTCAGAGGGAAAAAAGTAACTCTCCTGTTTCTTTTTTGAAAACTGTATACCAGGACCTGTTTGGAGTTCTGATCTTCCTTACACAAGCTTTGTGACACCCCAGATTCTTAGGCTTCAAGTCCCATGCCAGCAGCCATCAGTGAGGAAGCTTGGCTGGAGCATCAGTAACCAATGGCTCACATGCTCAATCAGAAACAAAGAACTGGTGATGTAGTGTTGTCTCAGGAAGTTTACTCCCTGCACTTGTAACCTCTGGAGCAAGTGACAACAATTGCATGTTTAGCAGTTCAATAGACCAGAGAACATCATTTTGTGTCCAGAAATACATACACATACCCGAGGTGGGTCTCTTTAGGAATAACAGCAACAAAACTGACTTTACAAGGTCAGTCCATTACACCTATTTTTTAAAAGGGTAGAAAGGAAGACCCTGGGAACTACCAATCTGCCAGCCTCAGCTCTG